CAAGTGGAACCACCCTTCAAATTCAATAATGCAAAACAAAATAAATTTAATGGATATGGCCAATTCATGTCATGGATGATTAGCAAAAAAAGTGTTTATAAATAGTATTTTTCTCCAAAACAAACAAGAAAATTCTTACATAAATTATTAAAAACCTAAAACCAAACAAGTAGATGCATTGCATCCACACCAATAGGAAGACACATACATCTTGAAAATGGGGCCAAGAGGATGCCTTAAGAAAGAAAATAATACAAATGGGTGCTTCTCACACATAGCACCACTTCAATTCTTAACATGATGACCCTAAGGGCTCAGCTCTTAGTGGCCTTGATTTACACACAAACACTTTCGAAGATGTCCATAGGGGTAGTGCAATCAACCTCTAGGGGCCCTTAATTTGCACACAAACACGTGTTTCTCTGTAAATCAAGGGTCCCTAGGGACTGACTGCAGGGCCCCTATAGACGGGAGAACATCGAATTAGCCGATGATAAGAACTTATCAACCTTTTGAAGGTCACTTTTGCTATCACAGCTATTTTTTTTTCTAAAAAGGAAAAAAAAGAAAGAATCTCTTTTAACCAATTCTTGGTTTTGTTCTTTGGATCTTATTCATGCACAAATGAGAGAGGGCCAAAGGGCTTGTATTATTATGTGACCCAACTCACTAACCAAATTGGTTAATACATCAGGTGACAAAGAAAAATGAGACATTTTTGGACAAGTTCAAGGGCTCAAGGTTGAATGCAAGTAGCTTACGTTGTTCAAATATTGTGACTTAATTAGGCAAGTATTACTTGAAACAGTTAAATTAATGTAAATTTGTTGAAATTTATATTGGAAGGTGTTATGCTGGCCAAGGATTAATATGTTTACCACGTGGTATTTCATATTTAGCACTTGATCTAATTACTTTGTAACACAATGGGTCGAAATCAAATGTATCATGTATGTGTCAGTTTGAAACATGAATTAGGGTGAAGTGTAAAAAAATAAGTTGATTTTTTCTATTTTGTGGGCTAAAATTAAAAAATGGTCCTATAATTTGAGAAAGGTTTAATTTTTCGCCTCGTCAATGATCACTTTCAAACTAAGTTCAATAATTTGACAGTTTAATCGGTTTTGGTCTTTTTTATCCGTATCCTGGATAAAAACGTGATGTGACGTAACAATCATCCTGATTCCGACGACTACATGATGGACTCTGGCGACCAATAAGTGAAAGAAGCTGTATCTAACCTGGAACCGAAGCACAGTAGAAGGAACTAAATCCATTCCACTCAACAGGATATCTTAAATCTCGCATTGGGTTTATTTGATTTTATTATATTTTTGTTTTAATTTTTTTGTTTCCACGTTAGCAGTGATACGGGGACAATTATTTTCAATTGACAGTGACCTGCTATTTTTTTTTTCCACTGAGCATCATTGAAATTGGTAAAAGAAAACGAAGCCTAATCTTTACGCAATGTCAGATAAAAAAATTGTCATGTCACGCCATCACGTTTTTATCCAGAGTACGGGTAAAAAGAGATCAAAATTGATTAAATTGTCAAATTATTGGACCTAGCTTGAAAGTGGTCAATAATAGGGTGAAAATTGGACTTTGGCTAAATTATATGAGTATTTTTTTTTTCAATACAGACATAATTCATTTTTATTAATTATATGAAAACATGAATATTTTTTTATATGGACATTTATTTAATATTCCTATATATAATTCATGAACGTATTGAGCTTAAGTGGCAGGCTTGCACGGTTTGGGATATTCAATTCATTTGACTAGGATAAATTTTAATTTATTTTCAATTCAAAAATAACTAGGCCTGGAATATCTATAATATACTATATATTTATGATTATTTTTAAGAGCATTAATTATGTTTTAACATCATTTTTTATTGTAGATGTGATTTATAAAACATCATTTTTTCCCAATCTTTCTTTTAAAATTACAAAAAGTTACTAACTTAAATTATAAATACGTTTAAAATTTAATATTTTTTTACTTATTATCGTTTTTCTATATTTTATTTCATTCCTGCAATGATATGTAATAAACTAATTAATTTATTTATTTTGATAAATTTAATCGACAAAAAAACATTCACCACCACTTACAGCGCATGTGCACTTTACCGGGAATAAAAAAAAAAAGAGTTATAATTTACTTACATAGGGAAACTTCATTATCATAACTATTTTACCTGACAAGGTGGAATGTTCCTCCCTGTATTGTAAAGACCATATATCAATATCATTCATTATTTTTGAAACTGCATATCATTTGAAACCACAAAAAAGAGTTGACAGGTCAATTTATATTCATTATATAGCTACTTTGAGAACAGAATTTTCCAAATTTATATAAAATTATAATACTAAATGATAGGCCATTTTATTTTATTTTTGCCATGAATATGATGACAAGCAAGAAAAAAGGCATATTATATATAATAAGGGATAATGCAAGACACATAACATCATTCACAAGGAGTTGCCACCAATTTTGTGTGTGATCCACATCAGTCCCATGTGAATTAATCAAAATCCACAAAAGACAATGCTAATTACTCAGAGGTCATTATATTAGAACAGTGGTTGTAACTTGTCTGTTCTCATATATTATTACACAGAAAAAGGTTATATACGCATAGTATACGGTCTAAATTTATGCGTAGACATGTGGTGTTAGAGTCGACCATTGAATCTCGGAAGGAAATTTGACCTAATAACATACACAAACCGTGTAGTCCATTTGTCAGTTCGTAGTTAGGAAGTAAGTTGGCCGCTGATAGAAGGATCAAACACGATAAACATCATGGTTCTGAGAGAATTAGAAATCATACACTCATAAAAAAATCATCGAACAAACCAAATAACATCAATCATCAACTCATAAAAAATCAGACACCAACGAAAAATATGAGCAGACAATTAAGGGTAGCCAAAACAAATTTCTAAAATTTTCAGCTCTGAACAAAAGCAATATTTTTTTTACCTAAAACTGAAAACTTCATCTTCAAAGCAATATTTTCTCCCCTTTGATGTGTAATAATAAAAGAGATCACTCCTACCACACTAAAAAGAATTGAAAAGAACATGATGATGAACAAATAAACCATATGGACCGAGCCCTCCCTCTCATCCAAGGCTCAGACGATACCAATCGAGTAAGGAGGTTCCCTAAGAACTCGGCTTGTATAATTTCTCCACCATCTTCCTGTACTCTGCAGTTTAGACAAGAAACTACATTCAGTCGCAAAATTCTTCCAGAGAAAATTCAGTCACAACAATTAATAAATGCTCGAGTATCAACTCATACACACCTTCTTGATTGCTCCAAAGTGATGCTGCCTGTGTGTTGAGTGGTGAATCGATATTCGGCTCTACATAACCCATACAAATACTAGCATCAGAATTCAAATCAGATAAACTTAGTTCAAGCAGTCTCCATTAATGCAAATGGTAAAATAAGCATCATTGCACAGTATTACCTCCTAGCAAACTCTGAATAGATAGCAACATTGTCCTCACATCATAAGCAGATGACCATTTATCCTGTCAAAACCTCAAACCTAAACCTTTCAGTACATTATTGAAGGCAGAATATATTATGCTGCGCAAGCATTATAGAAAGTAAGTAAATGTGACCTGCAATATGTCCAGGCATATATTCCCGTAAACATCAACGTTCGGGTGGAAGCAAGCTGTCTCAAACTTAACCTTTGGAGGCTTAAAAGGATAGTCTGATGGGAATGAAAGAGAGAGTTTGTATTCAGTTCCTTCAAAGACGGTATCTTTACTGCCATGGATGGTTCCTTTCCAACAGAATATGTTGTCCTCTTCAGGGAAAGCCGAGATTCCAGAATCTCCACCCATCTGTGGATTTTCATAGGAAAAATCGAAAACTATACTCAGCCAATGACAACTAATTATGTATTAATTTGTAGAAAGTATGGAAGATTGTATATAGTTCTCACCATTAAGGCCATCAGCTCTGATTGCAACCTGTTCATTAAATCAACCAAACAAGATTCAGATACAAAACAAACAAAAATGTGACTGAACTAATTGAACAGATACAAATCGAATAAGCACATTCATTATCAGTTATGTTCAAGAAAAGTTGAAATAGTATTAGCACGAAGACAGAACAGCCAAACCTAGGTAACTAAATGGTGACAAAATTAAGGAAAATGGAACATCATTCTTGGAATTCAAATTATACAATTGCAACCTGTGTTCACTAAATCAACCTAACACGATTTAGATACACACACACAAAAAAAAAAAAAAAANAAAAAAAAAAAAAACACACACACACACACATACACACACAAAATTCAAGAAAAATGGAAGTATTAGCACGAGACCAGTCGAACCCAGGTGACGATCGATTACAAAAATTAGGAAAAATGGGACAAAACTGATACTTTGAAGCTAAATTATACAATTGCCGGCAAAAAAAAATGCCAGTTAGAGTCAAAGCAATTTGAAATTGAAGATCCGCGGATGTTTCCCTAAATCCTAATATCTTTAGGCAGATCAAACACCAGAAAGGAATAGATCTAAAGCGAAGCCAATAAAATTTCACAATTTCGAAATTGAGAAAAGGGCTAATCGAAAACCCTAATGCTACTACCGATTAAAAATGGATTGAAAGTCGATAACAAGTAAACCAGACAGGAGAAGCGTAATCAAGATTATTTCTTAAATAAATTCCCAATTTGAAGCACGTACCTTTTCAGAACAGACTGGGTGTCGACGGTCTTGGCGGCGGGGACAGCTTGCTTTCCCGGCGCCACCATGGCGGCGGGGGTGTTGGGGTTGCTGTCTTGGCGGTTGGCGTTGTTCGCTGTGGCCATTTTCTTCCTCCCTTCAACGTTCTCTGATTAAAATTCAATAAAAACGAAGACTATACGAATCTAATTCGAAATCAAGATTGTACACAATCGAAGAAGAAGATGGTATCAACTCGAAGAGAGTTTTTCTTCTTCTTCTGAGAGAGAGAGAGAGAGAGAGAGACGGAAGGAGAGAGTAACGTAGGGTTTTATAAAAGGGGAATTTCAACGGGTTTACAAAAAAGAATTCGAACGTTACCAAACACGCCGCAAGGCAAGCTGATCTCGAGTATAACGGCTACTTTTTTTTTCCTTTTCAAAATAGTTGTTTTTTAAATTTATTCTTACAAATGGGAAAGGAGTATGATCTTTTGTACCCAGTTCAATTAGAGATATGATACACACACATCAAATGACAAATAAATAATAATTTCTCCCCCCACTCCAGTTTCCAGTTTTTAAAGAAAATAATGTGCATTTAATTAATTTTGTAATTGCAGATTTAATATTTTTTTTTATATTTACATATAAATATAGAAACTTATTTATTTTTTGTGATTTGATACATCGAGTTAAAATCGAGCCTAATTTTGCTAGCTCGGTGCATGTTTAGCTCGACCGGGTCGATTCACCAGAACATGTAGGTCGATTAGCCAGAATAGTTAGGTCGATGTGAGGCAACAAACCGGGTCACACTATGGTTCAGGAGCACTATGGTTCAGGAGTTGTTACGCCCGACCCAAATACTCCAGGACTAGGAATCGGTTATGTGAAGGATGACGAAGTGAAGTTGAGCAATCTGAATAACTTGCATCAACATAGCTAACTGAGTGTGACTTAACTTAGAGACCTAGTGACCTGAACACGTCTCGACATATATTTCGACTTGGGATAGGCATAAAGACCTGAGGAACATCAACAGTGCGAACACGTCGAGATAAACAAAGGAATGAAGATATGAAAAATATGGGGCAACCAATTGTCCCCTTGGCCAGCCCATCGGGATAGCTCGTAATTTCGGGCAGCCCTTGGGCACCAGGACACACAATTAAGTGGGCACCTAGGTAATTGTAGTATAAATAGGGGTAAGTTGTGGAACTTCTTCTTCCTTATATGATATCTTAAATATTCTAAGTGATAATTCCTTTTAGATTCTGTACTAACTTGATTGTCGAAGTGTTAACGCTGTGAGTATCTCTCAGTCCTTAGTTTAAAGATCACCAGCCTAGTGACAAACAAATCCAACTCAGGCAATTGGGTTACCAGGTTCATCAACCGGATTTTTAGGAAGGTCCAGCCAACCAAAAATTGAAGTTATTTGATAGAACACTATCACTAACATATACTTCGATCATGTCCATGTGGATTTTCCTCATTAAACTAAAAGAAGTTACTTTTCCATCTCATAACTCTTAGGGAATAAAATTTAATATACGTATATATGATAAATTTTAGGGTTAATTGCCAAATAAACATTGACCTTTGCACTTTTGGCAATTTAATCCAAACTTTTGGATAATGGCAATATAATCTTCACTTTAGCTTACGTTTGCAAAAGAAACTTAAAACCCGTCATCCGATCAAAATATGCCAGTGTGTCCGGCTGATTGTGTCTACGTGTAACTTCGGTTTGCTCAGTAAGATTAATTAAAATACGTGAAATTTCACAAAAATTAGTATAAAAACCCCATCATTCCCAATTTCATGAATTTTCCAAATCCAATTAACCCTAACTTAGTTCGAACCAAAAATCTATGTCGACGACAACAATCAAACCCTACAACTGAAATCTTCTCTCTGTTTCAAGAATCTGCAACGAAGTGGTCCCAATTGCTTGAGAGTTTGTTTCTGCGTTCGAGTTTCCTTCTGAGGGTACGTTCGACATTTCTTATATGTTGGGAAAATGAAAGACATGTGCGTTCAACATTTCTGTTTTTTAATTTCTTGTCTACTCTTTGTCATGTGGTTTCTGCATTTTTTATTTTTAAAATGTCACAAATGCAGTTGTCATCAGAAAGAAGAGTTCATGTCATTTCTGAGAGAGGTCCTGGTTCTAGAAATAATGGAGGGAAGGGGAAAATGCAGAAGGGGGGGGGGGGGAAGCCTAAAGATGCTTTAGGCACTCAAAGAGAGTGTTGCTCGCAATGGATGATTAAGTTTGGTTTATTCTGGAGTGTTGTTGATTTTTGGGGGTACTGTTGAACTGTGGATGATTAACTTACATTTACTTTTGAAGTTTTGTTGATTGTCGACGAACTGTTGCTTTTTTTTTTACACTCAAAATGTTGGGTTATGTGTTCAACAAAGAATGATTGTTGGGTTATGTTTCTTTCTGATTTTTTGGATGAATTATGTTGGGTTATATTTCTTTCTGATTTTTAGATGAACTTAGTAATGATTTTGAACTGTTGTTCATCTCAGTTTTCTTCTTTATATGGAGAGTTTTGTTATGTCAACTATGTGATGTTGTTTTGGAAGTACTCAGATTATAAATAATGTGTTATTTTGTTATGTTAAGTATGTGATCCAGTTTTCTTAACAAAGTTGTATCTCATAAATTTCAAAACATAGCAAAAAAGAAGGCTAATAACAATGAGATAAAACACAACAATAGATTACGTTACTTCTCAAGCTCAATAACAATGAGATAAAACATAACAATATTCAAAGCAACATTTTAGGCCTTTGCTCATGACCAGATTTTCCAACCAAACCAAGGAAAAAAATCAGTATAACCACAATCAAGCAAAACATTACAACATTCATCTTCCTTTCCAGTTTATGCATGAGAGCTAATGTATTTTTCAAAACCAACACGGCTTCATTGTTCTTCTGAACTTCAACCTCAACATTATTCAGTTTTTGTTCAAAATCAATGTCATCGTCCACAATTTCATCTTTTTCCAATGCCTTTCCATTGTACATTTTCTCCACTGCAACCTTACGCCTAAGTTGCTCTTCCATAGACTCGTTTCTAGATTTCAATCGCAAGAAACAGGATTTTTAGAACTCAAGAAGTGTGGGATCAATCCAATCGAAAAAACCACAGTCATCCTTTTCTTAAACAATGTAAACCGAAAAATTAAGGTTTAAAGAAATTGGGATTTTAATTAGGTATATAAATTTTGGGGATTTAGAAGAAATTAGGGGTCTCACACAATATACGTAGCTCACCTTCCACATATGACATCTACGGAATCTTCTACATAGATTCTCGCACGTCATGGAGGTAAACACATTAGGTTCCTTGACATGGCGACAGAGCTTCTTCGAAGGTACACTAAAGCTTCCAGAACTTTGGCTTGCGTGAGATGAAGACGACATCTTCCACTAGCAGGATCGTCGCTTGCTTCCGCGAGCTATTGTCTGCAAAAAAGAAAAAAAAAAATAAACTTTTGAAAGTGGATTGAGAATTTAGGGATTGCGAAAAAAAATGACCGGCCGACGGGTTTTAAGTTCCTTTTGCAAACGTAAGCCAAAGTGGAGATTATATTGCAATTATCCAAAGGTTTGGATTAAATTACCAAACGTGAAATGGTCAAGGTTTAAATGGAAATTAACCCTAAATTTTATATGTTTATATGTTTTTAAGCGTGGTATAAGCACGGTTGAATTCATGCTACCCATGTGGGCAGTGCCTCCATGAGGTTTTTAGCCACAAATTTCACACACACACACACATGTGGGTGTATGTGTGTGAGCGTGTGGCTAAAAACTTCCATGGAGGCACTAGTCCATGGGGTAGCATCGACTTTGTCGTATAAGCACACTCTACCCGGAGTAGCTTTAAGTGAAGGATGGTAAATTCAGTGATGCGGGTAATCAAGGAAGTGTGCAATCCACCAAATAAAACTGAACTCGATTTTAATTGTTTGAGCAACATACGTGTTTGTGAATGTGTGAGAATCAAGAAATGGTGTGAGCACTATCCACAGTAGTATAATCGAACTTGCGGGGTGAAAGACAGTGAATTGGTTTTAGACAAATAGCTTAGGGCATATTTGGTGGGTAAATTTACGTATCTACTGCTATTTTTGAATTATTCTTCAAAACATGAAAATTTAAAAATATATATATTTATACGAACAATACATTTTTATTATAAATTTCTTCTTTAACTTTATTTATACTTTATAATATGTTTATGTTATCAAATTTCATGACATGGCTAAAATATGAACTATCCATGAACATCGAACATATATACAAGTAGCACTGTTAAAACGGGCCATGGCCCGCGGGCTGGCCCGCCCGCCCGCCCGCCTAAATGGACGGGCTTGGGCCTTTGCTTGGCCAGCCCGTTCAATCGCGGGCCTATTTGGCCCGCCCCGTTTGGCCCGCGGGCTGGGGCGGGCTGGACCGCGGGTCAACCCTTTTTTTTTAATGACAAATATTGTATATTTGTATTTTTTTTTTTTTTTTTTGCCTTGAATTTAATTGTATAATATAAATATGAAATAAAAATGTAATTTTTTTATGACAAGTATTGTATTCTTTTTTTTCTTAAATTTAATTGTATGATATAAATATGAAATAAAAATGTAAAGACGTGAAGAATTTGAGCAAGGTGGAGGATGGAGCTGACAAAACATTGGTTGTCCACTTTTAAATATCCCAATCCAATCACTGTCCTTAATATAGCATAATAGCAACAACAAATATTAAAAATAGCCAATTATTAAAGGATGAAAGTTTTTAATTCATTTTCCATTTTACCCAAGGAAATAAATAGCTCGCTAAAGTTGCCGCTATTTGAGAAATAACTTTTTTTGGCAGCGTGCCGCTATTTGTATTCATGTGCAATTTAGCCTCTAAATTCCGTTAAATCTCCGCTATAACTACAGTGTCATAAACGTTTTAACCCGCTATTTAAAACCTTGATTTTACCACAATTCAATCACAATATATGGTCACCATCGAGATCAAAATGTTGTACAAGTAATTCTTATTCAATTCCCACGGTTTTTTTTTTTCCTTTTATAGTTTGAATTTAAAAACCAAAATTGCATTATAAATTGCAAAAAAAATAATAATAACAATAAAAAAATAGTAAGTAAAAAAAAAAACCCGCGGGCGGGCCGATTTGGCCCGCGGGCTAATGCGGGCGGGCTACGGGCCATGGATTTCCCAGCTCGTAGAAATGCGGGTCATTTTGGCCCGCCCTATTTGAACCGCGGGCCAGCGCGGGTCGGAGCGGGCCGGACCGGACCGGCCCGTTTGACAGTGCTATATACAAGGGATAGATCAAATGAGTCCACTTCTTAAACTGTGAATGAATCTCATCCATTGATTTTGTGTAGATCTATGACTCATATAAATCAATTGTAATTATATTAATTATATAGAAAAATAATAATAATTATCTTAAAATTAAATAAATAATAAATTAACTAATTAATTGAGCTTTTTTGGCAGTTGGGGCCGGCAGCTGCCGGTCAACATCAGCTCGCCACCCTCTCTGCGCCATCCTCGTATTGTCGCTGCCCTCTGCATCTCGCTGGTGGGCGCTGGTTTCAGTTGCATCCCTCTGGCGCCTCGATTTTGGTTGCATCTCTCTGCCGCCCTCTGGTGCAGGCTGCATCTTGTCGGTTATCGCTGGTTTCGGCTCCATCCCTCAGCCTACCTCTGGTTATGGGTGTATCTCTCTAACGGCCGTTGGTTCATAGCTTCATCTCTTCGCACCTGTGCCGGTTGCGAGCTCCTAACGACTCTTCATCCCGCCTCCGGCATGGCGTGTGCCTTTTTCAGTTGGCCATGGCGGGGTGTAGGAGGGTTCTGGCTCACTGGCGAGTTCGTCTTGGTGGGTGCATTGTTGTCTTGCGGTTGCCGGGCTATGGCCGGCTCCTTGCGATTTCCCTGTCCCATCCTCTCCCTGGTGTTTGGAAGGTGGGATCCTCCAGCAGGGCGGCTTTCTTCTTCAGTGGGTTGAGGTAGCAGTTGTTGGTTTGTGTTTAGGGAGGGGTTTGGTGTGAGTCTCCAAGTGTGTACCAATGGCGACCATTTTGGGAGGGTCGCGCGTAGCTCGATCCGGATTGAGATACCCATAGAGGGAGTTTGTGGATCCGTGTTTTTGGCCGTTTACTTGATTTTGATTTTGGGTGGTCCGTCTTGTGTTGTGTCTTGAGTTGTGTTGATTCAGAGTGGCTTTCCAGTCGGCGAGTTGGCCTTTATTCTAGCTATTGGGAGCGTTTATTCTCCACTTGTGGGATTTAGGTAGTTTTCTATTTGTTGTGGGTTTTGTTAGAATTTTAGGTACGCAACAATCCAGATTTTCTCACCAAGATCAGAAAATAAAATACGCAGCGGAAAATAAATAAATACGAAAGATCTAAAATTTAATCCACAAGTAAAATCACTTGTAGACTAAGGCACATGCCAAAATATTCACTAGAACAAATTATTCACAAAGTTTTTCATCCAATTCAAAACATCTAGTGAACTACGAAAAATATAAAACGCGAGTTGGACACAAGATATAAAAGAAAGCAAGCCCGGTAAATTTTGCTCGATCCGTTTATCCGCACTCGGCTTCCTTGAGTTCCAGAAAGAAAATCAACTAACAAGCTCCTTCTTGAAACAATATGTATGCTATACTTTTCTGTTGCTTAACCCATGCAGTGAAAAGAACTTCCTCATGCCCAAAACCCCGATCTCTCTTGCAACTCTCTGTACACACTTTTTTTTTTTTTCTCTTGCGTGCACTATATGATCTCCCAGCCAATCTTACCAGAATCTTTTTCTTCCTTATTTTCTCTTCCTTTTCCCAGTAGGATACCTAATCACATAAGGAAACTCAATAACACAAGGAAACCAAAAAATAACAATAATATAATACCATATATATTATAGATATACAAAAATAAAATACAAAAAAGCAAAATAAAACATATTAAAAATATGTTTCTAACAGGTTTGTTGTTTAACTAGTGTGGTCCTAGCTACCTTCGGGTTTTACCCTCAGGTCGTCCTCCCACTAGATTCTGTTGTGTAGCTGCTCGAGTTTGTTGTATTAGTTGTTATCTAGTTGTACATATGTGTTCTTGTTTATATAAGTTCTTTTGTTCCCAAAAAATAAGAACACACACATTGTGTATTCTATATACTCACCCTCAACGTTTCACCCTTGATTTCTGTTGATAAACGGATTTGATCAACCTTTTTATTGTTAATATCTTTGATTTGTGTGGAAATAATACGAGTTTATGGGCTAAGCGTAGAATAATTCGGGATTGGCTCAAGTCGGTTTTCAGGACTTGAGGTCGGTTTTCAATAGTATAATTGTGTTCGAAAATATTACAAAACCGAGGTGATAAATGCGGAATTAAATGTGTCGGAAAAAGATCCTCGTATTGTGTTTAATACTGTTATTTATAGTAACTGCGGGCTCGTCTTTTGAGGGGGATGCGGCGGCATTTAATGCAGTATGACATGACCCAGCACTTTTTCAGCAAGTGGACCCCTTTTGCAATGATGTCCTCACGTGGCCCTCAGCTATCTTGATGGACGTGCATTTAATGTTGTCTGTCGGTCCCGACGTCGGCCCATTTCCGAGGTCATCTATGCAGTAAGGTCGGTTTCTTGACGTAGTAAGGCCTCCGAGGTCGGTTTACACAACTCGGGAACATTTCTCTAGCTCTACTCGGGTCGGCCCCCTTTTTCTCTTCCTGTCCACGTGTCGTTCATCCGACGTTCGTAGGAATTTTGATGTCAACAATTTCCCAGCGGCTGCTAGCCGCGGAGCTCCATCGCCTTGCAACTACCGTTTCTCCAATTTGAAGTCAAGATGCTTGGTGGGTTGAGAACATTGGGAGTTTAATGTGTGATTAATTGTGTTGCCAAAATAAAAAATTTGAATTAGTATATGTAAATAAAAATTGAGGAAACTTTTATATTTTCTGTAGTCTATTTCCATAAAACTAGTGTGTAGCCCCGTGCGACGCACGTGTAAATAATATTAAATAATAATTATAAATAGGTCTCGAGTTTGAGTGGTGGAGAACCATTATCCTATTTTAAAAGAGCAAAAAAAATTTATAAATTAAAGATGTGGGGTTAACATGTGATATAATTTACCGTCGTATATCAGTTTAATATCAGCAATATAAAATTAACTTGCATAAGATAACATCAAGTTTGCATGTTTAAAATATTAAAAACATGTAAAAGTATGTAATGATTTATGTATTATTATTAAAAGATGTGAAGTCACCTATAATTTTTTTAAACTATTTTGGAAAGAAAACATGTTTAAAAAACATTTGAATTTTACATTTGTATGAAAGATGTTTTCTAAACTCTGTTGTAAAGAAAACATGTTTAAAAATTTTTAAATTTAATATGTATATATATATGTATATATGTATATAGATATAATATGACATAATAAAATATTATATAAAAGTATCTAAAATATCATAAGCCTAAATAAAAACATTATATTAACAATTACACTTTAGAGTGAATGAAAAAAAAAATTCTGTTACGATAATTTTTTAAAAAAATATGTTACAGTAGATACATAAGAGATGAAAAACATTATAGATATAATATGACATGAAAAATATTAGCGCCACATTTATTCATTAAATGATTTTGACGGTGAATTTTGGCGGGAAATTATAAAAAAATTATTCTTTTTATATAATGATAGATTAGCATACTGGATTTTTTCCAATTATTTAACAACTTTTGTATACACGGATAAAATATTGTACAGAACTTTTTCTATCAGCATTGTAAATCAATTTTTAAAAATTCAAAATATCAACAATAATTCAGTGATGTTTAATGTGATGATTCGAATTATCATGATAAGTAACAAAAAAAAGGTAAAACAAAAAAAAAAATATTTTAGTTTTAGAGTACGGAAAAAAAAAATAAATAAATATGATACATCCGACTTTTTTACATTTAATAGTAACAATTATCAATTGCGTTTTTTATTACCTAAAAAAACAGGCAAAACAAATATAAATATTTAGTTTTGATAAAAAAAAAATGACGCTGAACACAATAAATAATGGCGGCTGAACACAATAAATGTTTGGCGGGTAAATATGGCGGGAATTTACAAAATGTTATTCTTTTTATATATAGATAGATGTATGGGTTTGGGATCTTTCAATTATTATTAACAGATAGTAATTTGAGCATATATTTGTTTCAAAACACATTTGAGCATATATCGCAAGAAAAGATAACAAATAAGACACTCAACCCAACCCCTTCAACTGCAACTCAGTTTATAATGTACCAACACTTTGGACACTCAACAGTCTATCAAAACTGAACACAAAATTGAGAATAATCACAGCAGAACTCATAAATATTTAAACAGATCCCGCCAGGCCCGCAAAAAAAAGCAGCCCAATAAAATTGGTATCTGGCCCATCAATACACATCATGAGAAGACAAAGGCAAAACAAGCTGAAAGGTATCATCATCATTAGTCATTACATAACAAATAAACGAACCAATAGAATCGAACCCAAACATTTTCAGACCATAATTAATTGATATATAACCTATATATACCTATTACACAGACATAAAAGTTTGAAACCCTATGACCACAAAACAAAGCCCCACTATGATGACACATATGCACAAACTTAATTTCCCCCTTCTGCACACACACACACACCATTTCTTATATAACACACACAAACACACATATAATAATCTCTACAATTTACAGAGACTATAGTATATGCATATGTATATATATATAAATATATTCAATTTATGTATCCACCGTCGACTGTACACCATCCGAGCCACCGGAGGAATGAGATGCCGCCAGGAGGGCCGCCCCAATGCCCGACCCATCCTCCATGATGCTGATCACGACACGAGCCGCCACGTCGTCACCGAGTATGTGGGCCAATGCCTCATTCAGATACTCCCTGAACATTGTGTAGTTGGAGTAGAGGCCACCCTCGACTGCCACCACTGTCCTAGCCATCTCGCTCTTGGTCTTGGATTTGCCGCCCGAGAACCCACCGTAACCATCCCGCCCCATCTTCTTCAGTATGCCCACTATGCCGGCGGCTGCCAGCCTGGCGCCCCTGCGGGTCACCACGTCACAAACCTTCACCACGAGCTTCCGCACGTTGAGGGGAGCATCATTTATCTAATAATAAGGAAAAAAAATTAACAATGAAAAATAATAAAATTAATAACTGGTGTAACCCTGGACCTGGACGTTATTTACATCGTTAGTGCAATTTTGGATTATATGAAATGGATTTCAAACCTCGAGAGTGTCTTGTAATACTCTGGCAACCTCTATCAAGTCGGGGGAATCATCCTCGTGCATGGCAGCAATCATAGGTGTCCTGCAAAGTTAGGGGTGTCATTTAGGGATGACCAGAAGATGCTGTTCTTATTATACATGTTGGGCATAATTTATTGTACTTTATTCATGAAGTTGAATATCAAACTTAATAATAGATAAAATATAACTAGCAACTCCTAATACTTTCTACTTCTTGTAAGATGCAACCTTTAAATTTCCAAGCCTATGATAGAGATCCCATGAAATAAGGCATAAATCACGAAAAGTACATTGAAGAATAAACCTAAAGATTGTGGAGTGATTTTGGGATCTGGATTGATCGTCTTTTGAAGATCATTGTTATCGTGTTTTCACTATTATTAACTTTTATATTACATCAATTAAATATAAATGTAGGTTCTCTAGTAGAGAAGGGTAGGCAATAAGAATCAATATTGTAATAGTTTTAGCTATTAGGCAAAAGAGTAGTTCATGTTGGGCAGAAGTTAAGTCATGGTGGGAAGCTTCAACCTTCTGGTTACCATTCATATTAAATAAAATTTCATATTCTATTTTTTTTTTTTTAATCTTTACTCTTATCAGCCCAGATCGAAAATAATTTAAGGTGAACTTCAACCAACCGACAAATGCCTTGAATTAAATTGAATTTATCAACTAGTCCCTATGGATGTTTCTTCCATTCAACAAAAGCCATCCTATATTACATGTTTCAATTTTTTTACAGAGGAAACTGCAACTGAAATAAAATTAGAAAAGAAAACACATATTAGCATAATATGCTCCAAATAATTATACTTGTGCAGATTGAAATATTATGTACCGACTGGGTGTAAAGATTTATAGATTGAGACTGATAAAATTACCTTAATATGAATGGAACATGTAATTTGGAAGACACAGATCCAAAAACATCCGACTCCTGAGACATCCGAAGAAGTACTCTTCTCACAATGTCTCCAAGATACATTCCAGATATCATTTTCTCAAAACCCTGCAGCAATAATCCTAATCAGTATCCATCAGCGAGAAGTAACTACACCAAATATTTTGACGACAATCTGCTAAATTAAGAAACAATGTAGAAGCTAAACTCACCTGATCATTTGGGTTCGGACTTTCAGCATCCAAATCAATATCATAAGACGTCCTAGGCAAGTGAGATGACCAAAAATTTCCCCATTCCATGTTGACCACCTAATCACATATAACACCATCAATATGTTCAGCGGGAAAATTGCAACATAAAATATTATATATATATATATATATATACACTGTGTAATAACATGCTGGAAACTATACCATGCTTCCAGTAGATGCAAGAAGACCTTGGCATTTAATAATGGCATCTGCACGCTCCAAATAACAGGCATTAGTGCCTGTTCCGAAAATCACAGCAGCTACAGTGTCTTCATCATGATAATGACCAAGAGCCAAGGTACCCACTGTATCATTTACCTGTTTACACGAGAATAAAAGTATAACATTAGACTGCAAGCACTGTAACCATATATCTAGAGGCAAACATAAATAGTGAAACAGGCATGACGTGCACGGGTAACCCATATATATACAGGCAAAAGCAAAGAGTAAACCTAAAATATTGGCAGCTGCACAAGTAAAGAAGCATGAGGTGCTGTTCTCATGGGCAGCTCACAAGTCCAAAGGAGAAACAGACATGTTACGTGCACCACATGCATCAGATAGTATCGTGTAAACTTCATGATATAGTTGAGATGTCATATATAGATATAAGACAGAATGTAAATGATATATTCAACTTATGACCGAGCAATAAAAGTTTAAGAATGTGCAGAAACCAATGAAACAGATTGCTTACAAGAGCGGCAACTCGAATATCCAGGCCCTTCTGAGATATTGATTCCTGTAGGCACTGAGCAACATCCCTACCAATCTACAACACCACAGTCCATTAGTTAGGTACCTTTATCCACCACAAATGATACTGATGCATCATTATACCAAATAACAAAGATGTTTTAAGAAATTAAAATTTTCCTTGTTTTTGTTACCGTCACCTGAGAAAACCATATGCAAGTACAAAGTACTTATTCATAAGAAGAAGATGCAGATTTTAAATGGGTACCCAACATTACAGGTAAAAATGACTTGAAACGAGCAAGCATACGAATAAGAGAATAATTAAAAATTAAAAAGGGCTAACCATGTCATCAATAGAGAATCCTTTTGTCCATTTGATCAAAGTTCCTGATGATGAAGAAGTTTGTTTCACTGGGAATGAAAATGTGAAACCAAGTTCCCTTCTCTCCCCTTGTGAAGCCTCTGTAGCATTTTCTTCTCTTTCAACAAAATCCTTCAAAGATGTTGCTATAAAATCAAAAAGCTCCTGAAAGTGAGAAGTAGAATGAAATAAAAATTAATTAGAATTTTGAGTCCAGGAAGAAGTTATTTCATATCCGAGATGCCAAAATGCACAAAAATCAGCTACCTCACTTGTCCCGGTCATCAAATGCTCAGGGATGGGTTGTCGTTCAACATCAGGACCTATGATAGCTGACCTTTGTCCGCCTAACTTAACTCGCAAGACCCTGAAATTGGTACCACCGAGATCTAGAGCAAAATATATCCCCTCTTCGTTTCTGGAAGTAAAATGTTTGCTATAATCAGTGAAGAAAAACTACTTGATAATTGATTAAGAATGCAAAAGAACTCACCACATTAAACAAAAAGATTACGACAAAACAAAACAAAAGCAACAAAGATTTCGGCAATGTTCCTGAAGTACAAGTCCTAAATCTCAACACATTGAGACAATCATAGCTACCAGCTGAAGCAGAGGACTTAAATAAACTATATCGTAATACCTCAACACAATGCAGTCGATCTATGAAAAAAAAAATGATTTCTTTAGGGTTCAAATACAAACAGTGAAAACCATATATGTTAAAACAAGTGAACGATTGTGAATCATTTAGCTTTAAAAGAGAGTAGCAGCATGTGTCTTTTCTCAATCGGATAATTATAATTCATGACATGACAGAGTATCAAAGCAAGACGAAGATTTCTTTTCGCGATTGAAAATCCCAGAGCAACTCAAAAGAAGATTCCACCAATTTTCCTACTATTCGTAGATAAAACGTTAAATAAACAACGTGTAATCTGGAAAGTGATTATCGAAAGTTAGGAAGAAAATATCAATCGCATACAAGGAAAGGGCAAGGCTGGAAAAACCCAAAAAATACTCATTGATACGCATCCTTTTTGGCAAGTAAAATAGAAACCAACACGTAGATTCCACCACGGCGCTGCATTAATGAATTTACTTAATAGCAAAGAATCTTTCAACAGAAAACACCCCATCGCACAGTGTCACATCCATTGTGCCCCAACTATGAAATGTCAAGAATCCAGCCAGAACATAATTCCAACTCAGATACAACTTCAATCATAATAACAACTCAGGCAAAGCAATTCCAACTCAGATACAACTTCAATCATAATAACAACTCAGGCAAAGCAAAACAGTGGGTAGCACGGAGAAATCACTGCATAAACAAATGCATTCGACCGGACTAAGAAAAAATCACAATTAACCCCTCAAAAATTGTGAATCTTGACCACATAAAGCACAAAATCTCCTTACAAAATACAACAAATGCACGCATCATTGCCCCAAAAAATTAGGAGATCAAGCAATCGTGGCCAATAAACTAACATATAGAAGCAATTCAACATCAAACTTAACAAAAACATTTAATTGAGCATTTATCCACTATCCCTAAACTATCAATCAAACGAATGCCACCCATGAAACCCACATTTTAACTCCCAATAGCTGAAAATTTAAGTACAAACCTGGAAAAAAGCAACCACAAGTAAATTAGTATATTCATGCAATAGATGCAGGCCTACCCTCACACACAGGCACAGACACCCACACACACACACACACACACACATCTGAAGCGTCAAGGTCTTACCCTGTTGGGAGATTGTAGATATAGGTGAGAAGCATCTTAAGCTTGGACCCGCCTTCAGAAGCCAAGCCCGCGTGCATCTCAACCGCCATTGCATCAACAACCTGCCGCAGCCGCCCCACAGGGGTGGCGCATCCCTCCTCCAGCTCCTCCAGCACCCTCAGCACCCGCTTCCACCCCCTCCTCCGCCTCACCCTCCTCCCCACCATCACAGCCGCCACCACGCACGCCGCCGCCGCACATCCCGCCGCCAACGCTGCCCCGACCTTCCCCATATACGGCGCCCTTCCCTCCAAAAAAAAAAAAGAAAAAAAAGAAGCCCTTCTCTTCCGGAATAGGGGAATCAAAAATCAATCAACCATCCTCAAGCAGCAAAACAAATCAAAAAGGTTTCGTTCCAGCGATCAACACAAACGCCGCGAATTCCCTGAAAATTGGCCGGAAGACCTAAAGGACTCTGCGTCGATTGCGAAACGAAGGGGAAACAAAACAGCCGCCGGACGTTCCAAACGGCGTCGTTTTGCTGTTCTTTCTATCCTCTAAAGGTGTCTCCTTTATTGCGCGACTGTGGAGAAACGAAGAAGAGTTGCTGAAGATGAGAGAGAGTATAGAGAGAGAAAGCAGTAGAGAGAGAGAGAGAGAGAAAGAGAGTAATGGCGAGTGTGTTGTGGAAAGCGATATGTTGGATACTTATAAGAGGAGCGCAAATGACGAGATTGCCCCTAAGAAATTTAAGGAAAAATAGAAAAGTAGGGAAGTGGCGAATTGACGGTCTTGCCCACCGGCAGGCCACCTTTAATTTTTGAAAGGTGTGTGGTTTGGTTAATTTGACCAATGCTGCCGATGTTGACCTTTCCTCAATAGTAGTAGAAAACGAATATGGCAAAGGTTCTTCTTTTTTTTTTCTTTTTTTTTTTTT